AGTCTCAATAACATATCCTCCCATATAATCCCAACGGGTGGGTGGGTGGCCCCCCCCCCCCCCCCCCCCCTCAATCCAAGACAACTCGCAATTCGTTGGGGGCGCTGTTTCTGAAAAGCAAACAGCCAATTCAACTGCTGCTCTACTCGTACTAACCCGAACCTTTGCGCTTGGACCAGCCGCCGGCACATCTCCGAGATTCCGGCGTTGGCAAATCTGACAGCGCCTTGAACCCTGTTTCTAGCCAAGCCGTCTCAGTCTTGTCATGTCCTTGTCTTGTCATGTCTTGCTCTGCTCTGCTCTGTCGTGTCCCGTTTCTTGGGCATTCATGTTTAGCCGCCATCAATGTGATTCTTCCCTTTCTTTACCCAGCAACTACCTTCTCTCCTCTTACAGTGATCAACTACAGTGAGTGATGCACAACAACGCAGCAGCTTCACCGCCTCGTTTCCCATCCATCCATCACACGACCAAACGGGTAAATCCACGCGGCTATCCATCCCCAGCATCTTCCTTCCCCCTCTTCTCTCTTCCCTCTTCTCTTTTTTCTTTTAATTTTATATATATATATTTTTTCAACTAAACCCGGATCTTACCATACGGGACATTTCTCATCATTACTCCGTACTCGCAAACAGTATTACTCCGTACATGACACTGCAATTCATTCATTCCACTCCTACATGCGAGTACGGCCGAGTTACAGGCCAGCCGTGCTCTGTCCTCCGTCGAATAAACTAGAACGCTCCTAGAAACGGCAGTGCGAGATACGGAGGCTCCGTCCCGACAAGGTTTCCCGCCCATGTCGGCTTACTGTAATCACTTTTGGATCTTGATCCTGCCCGGCCCACGTGTCTTGGTTGGCTTCAATGTTCCCTGTCCACCTGCGTCTTCTTGCAGGCATTCGCCTTCTTTCTTCTTCCATTTTTCTCTTCTTTCCTTCTCTCGTCTTACGGCGCAGAGATTTCGTGATTCCAGATGCCTGTCTGTCCTTATCTTGTTGCAGCATGCCGATTCAGGAGGCTCCGTTGTATTGGTCCACCTACGCATTCCCATTAATACACCAATCTAACCTCCATCAGCGATAAAGCATACGGCGACTTATCAAGACGCATCATCACATTGCCCAGCGCAAATGACAACATTTTGCGTTATTTCCTATAATTCTTCATCTGTGTAATTTTTCTTTTCCGCAATAGACGTGGCGATCCGTGTGATAGGCACAGCCGTAGCTGCAATGTCGAGTGATGGACCACAAGCTGGGTACACTTTGCTATTCGCACATCTCTATCACACACCAACTTCACCAAGCTTTGCCGAGAAAGACATGTTTATGTCGCTTGATGATGGTGATCTTGTTGACTGACATGTTGAATCGATACCCTTGGTTGACAAAGAACCCAAGCCCATGCCAGATACTAGTACCTGCATTAAGCCCTGGGAACGGTCTCAGACCTCACCTCTCCATGTCCATCTGGCCTTTGCTGCCAGGGTAACCTCCCAAGCCTCCATGCCTTGTCTTTTCGGCATCTTCACAGCACGGACATTTCTCGTCATCATTTCTCGTGATTCTTGCATCAAACTCCACAGACGGCACGCGTATCAGATCTTCAGGCTGCAGTTCGCTTATATGTGCCAGGTAGATCTCTTGCGGAGCGTACATCTAGACGCCGCAACGCACAGTCTGCATACTAGCCGCGTGCAAACTCAAGTCAGAGCTTGATATCCTACTTGTGAGCTTGGCGGTGCCTGATTTAGCTGCGCCGCGACTCAATAACAGTGCCCTTGTCTGTAGAATCTCCATGAAGAACCACAGAGATCTTCATATCAGGGTGTGTTGCTGCTAGGCTATAGAATCGCGCCGCGGATAATACTTTACACAATGTTTCATTACTGGCAGTACGCTGCCTCCAAGCTTCAGTAACATCAGTGATCAAGCTCAGCATTTTCTACGCGTTTCGTTGCCGTTTGTCGGACTTGTATGCATGAAACATTGTAGAAATGTGTAGCATAGATTGAATCTGGCTTACGATAGAGGTGATGTGTAAGTCAATAGAAGAAATGGTAGTGACTGGCAGTCATTTATCTTGTACCAAATACTACTATATAGTTTCAGCACTCGGAAAACCAAAAAGCTACATGTAGGCAACATCGTTGACTGGCAAGAATTTGAAATGCTCAGGGGCCTATGCTTGCAGCTGAGGCTGATGTAGCCCTCCAAGGCATTCGTCTACAGATACATATACGTCGTAGTAGTAGAAAGATGGTGCCTAATCAGCAAGCATATCCCGAAAACATTTCTAGCACAACGACACGGAAACCAATAGAAGATTATTCACGACATCTCAGTCTACAGAGACCCCATCATTTCCCCAGAGTCATGAGCTCAAGTCAAAGCAATCTGACAAGTCAAATCCATGGACGTCAAATGAAAATCCCCCGCCTCAGCTCTCAGCTCACTCTCCAAACATCACTTCAGCTATCAAAAGACCAACATCCGGTTGAACGCGCGTACACCCAATGATTTTCCACCCCCTTGCATGCAAGAGAAATAGGAGACCCGTCGCTGTCGTAGCAGCAAACATTCCTAATACTGTAATGATCCGGCCCTCAACGCTGTAAGGGGGGGAGAGACGGCACAAGAAGAAGAGAAAAGAAAAGAAAAGCAAATAGCGAGCATCTTAAGAGGGCCAGACCGCAACTGAATTGTCTTACCGCGTTGATGCGGCTGAGGGAAGCTAGTGCAGGTACTGTAGCACAATCATACTCTCTCCCCTGTCAGCAGAATCCTCCGCAAACTCTCCACCTCAGCTTTTCCGGGCACTGGATATCAGGTTTCTCTCGTGCTACGGCTTGTAGAGAAAGCCTTGTTGATGGTTTATACAAGTCATACATAGGTAGAGTATTTGGGATACCATATCTTACTGACCGGGACGGGCCGCGGATGGACTTCCGAGCCTTGACGCTGGCTGTCTTTCTTTCTATTATATTTCAGGTTCCCACCCACTCTCCCTTGCATTCGGTGAGCAGCATCACATCCAATCACATCAAAGTGGCTCTTTGGATCCAGGCTCTGCATCTGCCGTGCAGCCGCTCCAACACAACAGGCGGAGAATCTCGTCCCTCTATGGCGACCATCTCGAGATCATCTAACCTTATCTCCAACGAATCATACATTCCCAAAGGCGATGATGCCACAGGAACCAGAGACTGACCACAGCGTTCGTCTGCCGGGCTCCTCATCTCTTGGCCCGATGAACCGTGGGCAGATTAAGATATGACACGTCAAGCGATCCGCCCCCCGGCATGTTTCTCAATTTCTTGATGGCTTAAGATGGCGCGTCTTGGCGCATATGATTGTCCAGTAGCTCGTCTTTCAGCCCGTCACACGGCAGCTTGCTTGTGCATAAGAGTCTCTCTTTGCTTTTTCCTCTCTTTTGGTTGCCAGGCGGGATGGAAGTTCTGGCGGTGTCGACCACGGTGTGATTGGGTGATGATGCAGCAAAAAAGACATGGACGCGGCTCGCAATGAGACAACTAGGCTATGAGAAGCACGGAATCCCTGTTCCCGGTCGAGAGTGTATTGCATCCATCACGGTTTGGGGCTGGTATTACTACATGTTTGCGTCGCCCGTGGAGAGGACTAATATAAGACAATACTAATATACGACCCCCCGACTAATATGCAAACTGCAGCGGCCACCGCCGCCTTGTTTTAATCCTCGCCTTGTTTTAGTACTTGAGTAAGAGGACGAATATTAGCTGTCTCATTCGCTTGACCGTATAAGAGGAGCCCGCGCCGTCAATGGAAGAGAGTCTGGTTCCATCCATCTCGTGCAACTCTCTCATCCCATCACCACTCACCAATAGAGCAACGGCCCCCCTCACAATCAAAGTAGCCATGAGCGACACGCCGACGTCCGCAATCCTCTCAGAGGGTTTCATGGGCCTCAAATTGTTTGGCACCGGTGCTCATACCCAAATATACGCTGCCTACGACAAAAAGCTCGACAACATGGTAGCCATCAAAAAGATGGACATTTCAACACCAGCACAGGGAGAGCAGCTCAAGCGTGAGATTGCCATCATCAAGAGATCCAGCAAACATGTAAGTTATGCCACACATCAACCCCCCCTTGGGGAGAAGAAAAAAACGTCATTCTCAAACTAAGCTGATGCGAAATATCCCACAGCGCAACATTGTTCCCATCCTTTACGCTCTTGTCCGACCAAGAATGGCACTGCTCGTCCTCGCCCCGAAACCAAGCAACCTCCACGCCCTCATGCCTCTGCGATACGACCTAAACTTGAAAATATCCGCCTTCTTCTGCTTGACCATCCAGATGCTCTCTGCGCTCACCTATCTCCAAGAAGAAGGCCTGTCCCACCGAAACATCAAGCCCACCAACGTCCTCGTCGAAGTCAGCGGCCCAGGCTTCCACTTCCAGCTCACAGACTTTGCCCTCACCAAGTCCGACGCAAACAACACTTCTTTCGTCTACAAGGCTCCGGAGACGTACGTCGACACATACCCCCTCACCACGAAGCAAGACGTCTGGTCGCTCTTCGCAACACTGGCCGTCTCCTGCGGCTACCTCTCCGAAACGGAGCTCTCTCACAAAAGCCCCTCGGCAGCAGCCTGGGCCATTGTCGAGGCGGGAGTGCAAATGACCGAGCTGGAGGCCATGGCGCAGCAGAACCCGACTCTGCGAGCGTCTGCATCAGTCATGTTCCACCAGCTGCGACCCAAGGAGAGGGTCAACTCACGGGGCGAAGTTGAATATCCAGAAGTTCCGCCTGACTATGTCGGCTTATACGGTAGCGGCCGACTGGACCGGGACGCCGTGTTTCCCCTCGGCCCAAGAGCAGACGTCCGAACCTTGACCGGGCCTCTGGGATTCGCATCTGGAGTGCCAGCGTTGCCACCCGCGACGCCCGAGCCCTACCAATACTTGCCGTCGGGTCTCGGCCTGTTTGATGAATCCACATCCATGGCCATCGAGGCTCCCAAAGAGAGAATGCCATCACCGTCTTCACACGGCGCAACATTCCAGCAGCAGCCAGACTACGAGCAATTCCAATTCACCGAGTACGATCCAGTCGACCAGCGCTGTCAAGCCAGCTGCTGCAACAACACAAACACAAGCACTGACAACAGCGACACTCCTCGCTCCTTGTCCTGGACCTCTTCTTCCCAGCCCCTCAGCCCGTACGCCCCGAGTTTCGTCCCCGTCAGCCCTCCCCTCGCCCCCACGACGCCGTTGCCGCTTCGCGCGATAACGCCCACCGAGACCTGGGACATCTGGGGCGTCTACAAAATCGCAAACACAATCAACTTCTCCAGCGGGGACTACGTGAGGCCGTACCCCATGGCTTGCGATAGCCAGGAGGAGCAAGTCGTGGATGACGTACCGCTTGAGGATTACAAGTGGACCGAGGACGACGATGGGCCTGTCGCGATTTACCCGCAGTCGCCTTTTTTGAGTTTTATCTCATGAGTTTAGTTTCTAGGGTTGTTTGGCTTGCTAGGAACGGTTTATAAGGGAGGCTGATTCTGGACATATTTTCTTGTTATATAAGGCTTGGTCGTTTTCTTCTTTTCCATCTTCTTCTGTATCTATATTACCAACTCTTATTCATCAAACTCTCTTTTAATCAAACTCCTTCATCATATACATCCATCCACATCTTCATCTCTATATAAACAACAGCGAGATATCCCTTAAAGTTGTGAAGGAGTATAAATCAATCAACCAAACCATCTCCACTCCACCAACGTCAAATCCCCTAATCCGTCTCAAGGCCTAGTCCCGTCTCTTAGTTTCCGGCCCCTTGTCCAGCCCCGTCAATGGCATCATCGAAACAAAATCTCACTCTAAACATTAGATAGCAATAAGATAAAAGAAAAAGCTACCCCACCTCCCAGCCGATTCCTAATAACCACCAAATACGCCATCACCACATTATCACATCCAACTTTTGCGCCAAACACCACCACCGTATCCAAACTCCCTCAAATCGCTCGATTCGCTCCCAATCCATCCTCCCAGTTCCCATCCATCTCTCCAGTTCAATACTCAACATCATGGCAGACAAGAAACGAGCCGTCGACTCAGACAAAGGCAAGTTCTCCTCCATCAACACCAACACCAAGAAACCACACATCTCCATCCAATCCAATCCTCACTACAAAATCAAACCAAAAAAAAAAAACTAACTTTGAAACAAAAACAGTCTGGACAACCCTCATCACCAACCTCGCCTACCTCCCCGGCCTCCTCACCCTCAACCACTCCCTCCGCGCAAACAACTCCAAATACCCCCTCGTCGCCCTCTACACAGACACTTTCCCCCAGGCCGGCCACGACGCCCTCAACGCCCGCGGCATCCCCTCCCAGCGCATCGACTACATCCTCCCCACCAACGGCAAGGACTACTCCAACGACCCGCGCTTCTACGACTGCTGGAGCAAGCTCGTGCCCTTCTCCCTCACCCAATACAGCCGCATTGTCCAGCTCGACTCCGACATGCTCGTCCTCCGCAACATGGACGAGCTCATGGACCTCCCCCTCGACGACCCCCAAACCCACGAATCCAGCAACTCTTCCTCTTCCTCCTCCTCCTCCTCCAAGCGCGTCTTCGCCGCCGGCCACGCCTGCGTCTGCAACCCCCTCCGCAAGCCTCACTACCCCGAGAACTGGATCCCCCAAAACTGCGCCTTCACCTCCCAACACTCCACCCCAGACCTCGCCCAAACCGTCGCCGCCGACCCTTCCGCCGGCCCCCTCGGCTTCATGAACGGCGGCCTGCAAGTCGTCAACCCCTCCGCCGCGCTCTACGACCAGATCCTCGCCCACATGGAGGCCGACGCCGTCAACATGGATTTCGCCGACCAGTCGCTGCTGTCCGACCTCTACCGCGGCCGCTGGGTCCCGCTGCCGTACACCTACAACGCGCTTAAGACGCTGCGCTGGGACGGCGTGCACGCCCAGATCTGGAGGGACGACCAGGTCAAGAACATTCACTACATCCTGAGCCCCAAGCCGTGGGATGAGATCGACGTCGAGGGCGAGTGGACGGGGACCGAAGAGTCCCACAAGTGGTGGATAGATGCCAATAGAAAGAGAAAGGCCGCTGAGAAGGAGGCCGGCATCAATGATGAATTTTGAATACAGCACGGAAGAAAAAATACAAAGAGAGGAAACGAAACGAAACGAGGGAGAAATTCTACATCTCGGTCATGGATCAATTGATCCCGTTTGATTAGATCAAGTTCTGTTTATGGGTAGGCGACCTTGGCTTCAACTTCATCATCTTCTGGGGTTTTGCATCTCACATCAAGATATGTATGTACATGTATATATAAATATGCACATAGGTAGGTAGGTACTATAGACATCCATGATACAAACCACAAAAAAGGCGAATAGGCCTACAAATTCTTTTGCACCCTCGAGAATTTCATATCACAGCTCTGTTTGTATATATCCACAACCCGCAGGCGCTGTCTATCTTGCAATATCTGTTTGTGCTTTGCTTGGGCCGTCATTCTGTAAGTTATCCTTGTAATCCATCCATTCCAAGCCATCCCAGTACTATCCAAATTAAAAAAAAAAAAAAGGAGGGAATCAAAAAGACAAACATCATTCTGTTCAGGTATAGTTCGATAATCCAAACGCCTTCCCAAACGCAAAAGAAAATAGGACATCACTGTCATCAAAACCCCCCCGCCAAACTATGCTAGCATATACCGCTTTATTAAAAAGCCAGTACACGAAAAGGAGAGAATTCTAACCCTGGCGCTTGTTCTCTTCGAGCAACGAGTGCCACCGCTTTATAAAACTGCCAGCTGCAATAAACTCAAAGATGCTTCTCTCAGGTATATAGTAGTCAGGTATCGTCAAACATTTGAGCTTTTTTTTTTTTGCTCTTCTTTTCTCTTATTTGGGGAGACGACACATCTCTCCTCTCCAGCTTCGTTAATATCTCTTATATTTCTATCATCCTGTTAGCCAATTCTTCCTTTCAAGACATATTCCTAGGAACCAGGCTCTTACCTCGTTAATTCTGCGTTGATTGTGGGGATCAATCGAGTTCGTGGCTCCCATCAATGTCTGGCCGATGACCTTGGTCACACCCACTGCAGGTCGGAAGATGATGGTTGGCGCTCGTCGCAGAACCGCTCTGGCAGCGCCGCTGGCTGACTGGCTCTCCATCACCTCGCCTGGCACTGCAATAATGGCATCTCGTGCCAGGTTCACATCTCTGGCAAGTGATCTGTAACCACCCCGGATGCCTTGAATCACACCCGTGGGGTGGTCTGCATACAGCGAGATTTGCTTCCTGTCGTCTGCATCCAAGTCATCGTCTTCCCAGCCCTCCTCGGGCCGAGCCCCGCCGCTGAGCATCTCCTCTGCCCCCTGCAGGGCGTATTGCGTGCCAACAGCCAGTTTCGCTCCAAACTTGACCAGTTCCGTTCCAGTCGTGCGAGCAAACGCCGCGGCTCCCTTGGATATGCTTCGAATAATGCGACCGTCCTTTTGGTATTCTTTGAGGGGAATCTCAACCAAATCTTTGAAGCCGCTGCCAATGTTGACCAGGGATCTCACGGGTGCTAGACCTGCCACGACACCTGGAAGCTGCGTCTTTCTGACATCGGGTGACCAAATGTCGTTGAGCGTCTTTCCGAATCGATCAAAGCCGGTGACTCCGTAAATGATCACATGCCGGAGGACCATCCTAGACTCTTCCAGCGTGATAAAGTTCATAAACTCGGTCGTGTGCCCGGACCGAAGGCCAGCGTAGTCTACTCGTTTCGGCTTAAAGTCTAGCTTGACTGGGATATCCATCACTTCAGCCCTTTGTAGGAAGGGCACATCGCTGGGTGATGAGTGCACCGGAACGCTGTCGTCTTTGAATTCAAAGAAGCGAGTGATGAAGTCGAGGGCATCTTGGTCGACATGGAGTCTCAGGGGCAGCACCGTCGCTCGAAGAACAATCTCCGATGCTCCTAGCTCAGGTAGCGGCTTCACTGTGAGGAGCTCGAGATGCACCATGCTGGTGCCCATCTCACGCTCGCCCTGGTCCTGATCGTAAGTCACAAATTTCTTCCATGTTGACGTGGGAACATGATCAAAAATGTCAAGATTCTGAACCCGAACATCGATGCTGCTCTGCGTCTCTCCAGCTCCGGCGGGGAATGCAACCATGTCGACGTTGACACCTTGGAGTTCAAAGGTGATCTTGTGGTGTTTGCTTCGTTGCAGCTTCAAGCGCCGTGACTTGGGGTATCCTCGACGCATGGTTCGGTTCGTCGAGGCCGTCACTGCCGTTGTAGCGACTGACTCAGTCTCCGTTGCATTATCAGCAAGGCCTTCGTTAATCGCACGAGCCAAGTCCTGTGGATCTCGATTGGCTGGAATTCCAATGTAGATGGAATTGAACAAGAAGTCGCCAATCGTCTCTTCATCCTCGAGTTCTTCTTCGAAAATTTGCTGCCCGCTGAGTCGTGCTTGTCGTTCGTAGACCTTTGCCTCCACATCGTGGACGGCTTTGCTGATGGTGTCGCGCGTATGAGTCCAGTCATAGCCGTCAAATAGGTTCCAGATGAGGTGGACGTCCCGTACAGACACCTTAAGGGGGCTGCGTTTCACCAAGTTTGCGGGAGCCTTATCGTACGTGTTCTTGTTCGAATTCCAAATTTTGGCGGCCTGCTCCTCAGACGAGTTTTCAGTGTAAAAGTCGTCATGAATGACCAAATCATCGCTGTCTTCGGAGATGTAGCTGGTAGAAGTCGCAAGCCCAGTGTTAAATACTGCCGAGTTGATACCTTGCATCCTTGCGTCCTGCGATGTAGCGGAAAGCTTCATAGCATCAAAGAGCTCTTCTCCCCCAAGCTCATCGCCGTAAAACTGTGACTCAACGCGAAGGGAGTCGCCCCCAAAGCCGGCGTCGGAGTGACTCTTGGCCATCTCCTGTGCGCCCGCAAAGTCTTGGTCAAAGTCGTATTCCCCTTCCGGCCTTCCAAATGCCTCGGCTGAAATCGACGCAAGCAGGTCTTGCACAGGCATCACCTTGGTCCTGTATTTGTTCTCTTTGCTTGGTGGGGTTGGCGGTGAAAGAGCATTTGCTAGACTTATCAGAGTCTGAGTTGAGTCTGCACAAGTCTCTAGCACCAAAAGGTCGTCTCGGACTTCAACTTCCACCTGCTTCTCACCATCTGCATCCGGGGCGACACTGACGGTGACCTTTGCTGATGACATGTAGCAAATGTCGACGAATCCCTGAGCACACATTGAAACTACTTGAGGGGATGCTGAAGAGGACGCTCGGCGCCTTGCGCTGGAGGAGACGCGGTGGTCTGGTGTGCTCAGTGAGGCATCATCCGTGAGAAGAATAGATGCCTTGTGAACGTCGAGGCTCACGTTGGTAACCTCGTCCTTGGGAAGGACTACGGCAAGGCGGGCGTCTGTAAATACAACGACCATCTTTGATTTTTGGTTGAGGGGATTTAGGCCGATAAGGCAATCTCGAAACGACACATCCAAAGTCATTGGCTTACTCTGCTTCGCAGTGGACTGCGTCGGCGATGGGGGCTGCTGCTGCCGCGCCAATGCTGCGTGGGCTTGATCGCCGAGACTGGCGACTGAGGCAGCAAGGCTCTCTTCAAAGTCCTGAGGGGTGGCGTCATTGGCTAGACCAAGGATATCCATAATCGTCGGAACGCGGTATTCGATGCTGATGTCTTGTAGGTTCAGCTTCACAACGGGCTCAATGTCGTCTCCAATCATTCTTGCCATGATAACCGGGCCGCGATTCGCAATCTCAGCTGAAGGATATAGAATTGAGGAACTGACGAGCTCTTCGGTCTTGTTGCGCCTAATAGATATCCCAGAGACTGCAATGGCCACCAAAGATGGAACACTGATATGCGCAGCCTCAAGCTCTTTAATGTCGCTGCTAAGCTGTCCAAGGGTTCCGCCAATGTCAACGCTCGCGCCGAATTTATTAACTTTTGCAAGAGTCATGAGCCCAGGCCTGTCGTCTTCGGGGAGATATTTCGCCACGGTGGACAGCTTGGCCATTTCTTCACCGAGGGTTGGAAGAACCTCGAGCTGAGCCAAGTTTTTCACCCGCACATTCAGCGTTTCCACTCCGACTCTGAGTACTGAGCCTTTCCTTCGTTGCCGTATAAGAGTATCAACCATGATCTCATCGCTTCCGTGGTCAAATTTGGCCTTGGAGGGCGTGATTAATCCAAGCAGTTTCTCAAGGTCCGAGTCGTTTGGAGTCGTCACAAACTCCAACCGCATGCCGAGTATCTCCGTATTGATGGCAGGATCTGCCATGGAATTCTTTAGATACGGCCCAGACACGCGCATCATGCTACACCCGACTCCAACACCTTCCTCTCTGCTGATAAGTTTGATAGCATTGCTCTCGGCGACAAAGCTACATTCTTTCCCCAGGAGCTCAATGTAAGAACCTCCTATCCGCATATTGACTTTATTTTCAGAAGTGGCCGATTTGTCGTCAGGGTTGATGGGCGTATCAAATCGTACACCTCTTGGCCGCTGCGTTGAGGCTGGCTTCGGCGGCGGTTTGGGCGTAGGTGATGGACTAGAAGTCATCGAGGCACTCATATTGAGGAAGCTGCTCAGGCCTCCAAACCAGCTAAAGGTCTCATCAAGTCTTTGCAAATCCATACGGATAGCCAATGGCAGCGTCTCAATCTCTGTCTTGACGCTGTCCTTGGACTGTGTCATCTTGATGCCAACATCATGCCCGTTTGAAAGAAAAGTGTCCCTTACAGACGTGCTCATGGGTCTAGCTTTGTCGAAAGAGATGATGTCGTCATTGGTGTATCCGAAGCGGAACGTTTGCAGATCAATCGTTGTCTGGATGGCATCCTGCTTCTCTGGCTTACCTCTTCCGGCAGGGTGGGCAGTCACCTTGACAGGTGACACGGAAATGGCCAAATTCCCCAATGTTGCGTTGAGAAGGACTTCGTGGTCAAAAATGAACGCTGAGGGGTCCAAGTGGCGATGAGGAGTGTCTGTCACTCCTCCAAGCCGACTCAGGAAATCCAAAGATATTTCCTTTATTGACACTTTAATTTCCGGCACCTTGTCTGATTGCTGTGCATTATCAGTACCCTTGTTTGGGGCCT